ATATTTATTTATTTAGGCATTTCTAAACTGCTAAACGGCTCTTATAAAATAAGAGCCGTTTATTTAACTTTAATTTTACCAGATACTTTTTGCTTTTCGCATCGTGATATTTTGATAAACTACACGGAAACTGAACTTGTGCTGCTTTTTAAATAACATGCCAATAACCAACATTTTACGTCGAATAAATTAGTTGATTGTTTTGATTACGTAATTTAAACCGGCCGACTATGTAATAAAGTTAAATAATGCATTTTCACCCCGTTTATGAAAATAAGTATTTTAGAAAGCCCGTAACAAGGAAAATAAAATAATATACAAAATATCGTATTTAAAAAAACATATAAGTTTTAGTCAATTTAAAAAAAGACAGATTCCAACGAAGAAATAGTTACGTCACTGCATTCTACTTGAAAAACTGTACGAGAGACCGTTTTCACCTTTTCGATAAGTTATGATACAAAAGGGATCGAAAAATGCAATACTTCAGATTCGCCCTGTATTTTTAGGAAGTAAGAGAGCTAGGACATATCTGTATGTAGCATCTTTAGTTTCATAAAAAAGTAACAGCGTAAGGTGAAAACCGTATCTTTGTATCTCATTGACTCATAAACGAGAAACCCTGTAAAACACACGAAAATGGGACACCCGGTACAGACGTACTGCCAAATCAAGAAATCAACTACGAATGAAATCCAAGATCGATTTATATATTTTATATATTTAATCTTTTTGTGTTCGTGATAATTCCTTTGCTACTTCCTCCAAAAACCGACAGTACGTGGAAGGAGCGTTTCGAGGAAGTAAACGGACGAAGTAGCGTTTTGACGAAGGAGGAAGGAACACACAGTCGCATAAAATCGACATTTTCCTATAGTAAATATATGATTTTTGGACGAAGGGACGCGAGGAAGGAACGAAGTGAAGTAGCGAAGTGTGAGTATGGGGCTTTAGTCAAAATTAGTTATAACGTCACAATACTCCATACCTAATTACTGAAGTTCATGATAATGACAAATGATATTCAGTTATCTCAAGCTTAAACACAATAAAATTAGAATTTTAAAAGATAATCATAGTTTCCCAAATAATTCACGACTAATTATTTTCATTCATAGAAATCTATAAACCAGTTTGTAAGTAGTTTCAAAATGAACAAAACACCAAGTAAATGCTATGGAAGTGTGACTACACCCTTAAATATCAAATTACACATTCTTAACCCTCAAAAAAACACTTGTTTGGGTAATTTTATGGGTGAGATACTTTGAAATACGATCTTTCTTTTAGACGTGACATAGATTTGTTTTGATGGATTTCAGTTTTCATCAATCATTTGCATGTGTCAACCTTAGATAAATCAACAACAGCAAAACAAATATTTTTCTATATAAAATGTTGTAAAGTGTTATGTTTTTTCCCAATTAGTGGAAATAGTAATATTTTTCCAATTTTTCAACTAAATGATATAAAATAAGTTTCATATTTCATGTTAAATTAGATGGTTTCACCCTGTAAACAATGTCATCAGTAATCTGAGATTAGAGTTTCATATTTGCATTTTTTTAAAACTTTGTTAATTTTATAAGAACAAACTTACACGCCCTGGTTTGAAATATTGTTTTACAAGGTTATACGTGAAGAAAAAAACAAGCTTTTGTTCATGTAAGTATTTGTTTATAAATAGTTTACATTAATCAACAGTCTTGTAGTTTTATATTATTCCTGATAAAAAAATAAGATATAGAATATCTGCCAGATTCTTGTTTATAATGAATGAGTATTTTCCTCATTTGATATTCAGTTATTTAAATATATTCTATATTTTATTTTATAGGCATTTTTTAGAGATTTAACAGTATGTTATAACTTTAATACTATTATGTAAATAATCGTTATACTATAATAAAATTTTACTTATTTGCTTTAATTACACAAAAATTTCAATGTCAAAAATATGGGACTAACATTTTGCTAAATGGATAAGCAAATGTTGAAATAATTTGTTTCACTTGGAAGAATATAACTATTTTTCTGTGTTATTTTGCCATACTTTGTATACCGGGTACGTCTCGAAAGTGGCTCACCCCTATAACTTTTTTAATTTTCCAGATAAAATAACGAGACTTGGTACGTTAGTATATGACATAAGTCAGAATTGATTGACGTATTCAATTGTTTTCGGTCACTTCCTGTTTCACCGGAAATAACTACAACTTTTGATTTTTAAATGGCACCCTCGGTATTTTTTTACTTTATTCGTTAGAAAATGACATTCTGAATAGAATGACATATCATAATAAAAAAATGTATTTTAAATATCAATCTATAGAGTGCCATGGCTATGCTCAAAACAACAACAATTCTTAATCAACGAGCCATGGAAAAATAGATTGGATCGTCTAATGTTTTTAGTGTCTTGTTCTGGCCATTATTACAGTTGAGGGTTGGAACCTTTGGTGTTAAACAGCAAAATAAAAACACTAAATCACCACAATACAACAAAACACTTTTACTTTTACACTAGACGTGCGTTTCGCTAACCATGTTAGCATCATCAGCAGATGATTATAAACTACTTTCTGGCCAGTTAGAAAATGCTCAAATCGTATTTTTAATCATATCTCAATTTTTTCAAGGGAAACGTGGGTGGCTCATTAGCATATTTGGAAAAAGAATTGGTATTTCGAGTCAAATATTCATTACGAACCGCAATCTATAATTTCAAATAAACCATATGCGAAAATGTCAAAAGTTGAAATGTGATATGTCATTCTATTCAGAGTGTTATTTTCTATCGAGTAATGTAAAAAAATACCGGGGGTGCTATTTAAAAATCAAAAGTTGTAGTCATTTCCGGTGGAACAGGAAGTGACCGAAAACATTTGAATACGTAAATCAATCCTAATTTAAGTCATATACTAACATACCAAATCTCGTTTTCTTAACTGAAAAAATAAAAAAGTTATAGGGGTGAGCCAATTTTGGAACGCACCCGGTATACATGATATATTTTCATATAAAAATCAGAAACACAACCATAATAATGTTATGGTTTCATGCAGTTTTGCCTCACGTTAATTTTAATTATTTATTGTCTAACTTTTACCGCAAAGGTTAAATTTGGTTTTATAAAAAATGTATTTATTGTAATAACCCATACTTCTACAAATTTTGTTTTTCTTGGTTTGATTGCATATAAACAAATACAATACAGTTAGAATTTCTATGCAAGTTTTGATGATTTTAGATGATGGCAAATGAATTTTGAAATTTTAGTGCTCTTGGGATCATTGTAACACCACGCCCATTAGTATAATTAATTGCACAATAACTTAAGCAAACAAACAATTCTGCTGACTTGCAGTGCTGTTGCACTTTCCCATCCTGCTGAAAGTGAAATTTTTTTAATAGCAAAAAAGTCAACTATTAAGAGTCCATTCACTCCTAGGAGATAATTGTAGCAAATTAAACGTTCAAGTTTAAAAATACTTTTATAGAAACTATATTAGAAAAACTAATAATGGGTATAGTGAACTGTGATGTCAGCATAATATAGAGACATTCTTTTTCCTTTTCATCTCGTGGCCGTATGTGTGATCTCTTCTGTTAGAAGAATTTCTTATTAAAAAATGGCCATAAACAAGGGAAGACTTAAGATGGCGCTGCTGTAGCAAAAACCTAAAATTTAAAATATGCGCCGAAAATTTTTAGAACAGGAAATGATTCAAAAGAGATAAATATTAGACGCGAAGGCGCGAGTTTCAAAAAAATACAAATTTTATTTTCATGTCACATGAAATAAATTATCGATTTTTATTCAGTAACAATAGACTGGGTCTTACTTACAGGGTGAGTTTCCTACGATGTTCTCTATGGGTATCTCGGAAACTACTGGAGATAGAGAGGCGGTTAACTGGGAAAAGAATTGCAGTTTTGTGGGGTCATAAATATGCGCCTTTCAGATTTTTGAAAAAATTCATGGCTTACTAGATATTTCGAAAAAAAACAAATATTGGCTATTCTAAAAATTGTCCCTAATTCTATTATAATCTATTTTAGACAAAAAGGATTCAGAGAAAAGTTGTAGATAATCACATCCCTAATGAGCTTATATTCTCCGATTTTTTCTAAAGCCTGTCATTTTTGACATATTGATATCTCCAGGTGGTGAAACTGCAGAGGTCTTGCGTAACAGAAAAGGATACTTTTCACTAAATGTTCAAGCCATTTGCAATGCAAATCTGGAGTTTACAGATATTGTTGCAAGATGGCCAGGCAGCACACATGACTCCCATATTTTCAACAACTGCTATCGCAGAGCAATGTTTGAACAAGGACGATATGGTAATGCTGTACTTGTTGGAGATAGTGGATATGCCCTTGATCACTGTATTACACCGGCTGAACATTTGTACAATGAAGCTCAGATTAGAACTAGAAATCCAGTTGAGAGAATTTTTGGAGTATGGAAAAGGCGTTTTCCAGTTATGGCAATATGATTGCGAGTCAGTTTGGAGAACTCGTTTCCTATTATTGTCGCCACAGCTGTACTCCACAATATTGCTCGGCGAGCTGGAGAATATATGCCAACAGATGATCAGGAAATAATACTCCCTGTTCCTTGGGATGTTCTTCTTGAAGAAGGCAACATCGAAGAACACCTTATTAATCAACAACTACAACCGACGACCACGAGAAAATCCCAATCATCGAGAACGTCGTACTCTTATCGAAAACTATTTTGAAAGGTAATATAAAACAATTCCGACTATTGCTTCATTTTAGTTATACATATAATATTTTAATTTTCACAGGTTAGCAAGGCGAGGTGTGTTAGAAGAAAGAGCAGTGTGATCATCTAGCTTTATATGTAATGTTTTATAAAATGTAATTAAGGATTGTTTTTTTCAAACCTATTAAAAAAGCATAAAGGAATAAAACTTAACTTTTGGAAATAATTTATTATTTATTTTATTTAACAATAATAATATGGGAAATATTATTAAACATTTATTCTGCAATAGAAAAATTCCTAGGTATCAGAGGAACTTTGTCTAGCATTATTTAATTCTTCCAGTAAAATTTGGGTTTTACCTCTTCTTGTTTGAGTTTCTTACACTCTTGTTTCAGTTTAGTTTTCTCTTATTGTTCCTGCAAATCTAGAATCCTCATCATAACCGCATGCTGCTGTGCAACCTGCTCATTGGTACAATTTAGGGTTTTAAGTCTTGCCCCAGCAAGCGCCTCTGCCTCTGACTGTTTAATAGTTGGCCTCCTCCGGCTTGACAAATGCCTTGTCGAACAAGGCGTACGGGTGGAATTAATTTGAGGCATCAGCACGTCTTTTTCTTTCATTGTAGCATCCACGAGGCTACTTTCCTGTAGTGCAGAATTTCCACCTTCTTCCACAAATTCTATGTCCGCGGTACTTAGATTATTCTGACATAGAACTTTACATTTGGGGTTCCGTAACATGGATGTACTGTAAGATGTCCAGTCTCTATTCAGGGTATGCTAGAACAAAAGAGGTAAGTGTGATTTGCACGATGCCACTTATGCATAAAAAACTTACAACAAAGTTTACCTGAGTCAAACTCTGTGTGTTTTCAGGACCAGTGTCTGCGTCACATACCGCTTCTTGTTGGGACACTAAAAAAAATTAATATTGAAATTGATGTCTCTAGTAGATATAAATATATGTTAAGCTAAATTCAGGATGATGGGTAATGATGAAACCAGCATCTCTCATAAGACTACACTTGGTGTCATTGGTGATGTAATCGTCATCGTTCCTGATTTCAACTGTACCTGAAACACCAACAATAGCATCGGTATGGTCATTATCATACACATTTACAAGCCCTTCGACAGTTGGTAGAATTAATGCCAGCACCCTATCTAGCTGTGGGTCATCCTTAATCATTTTAGCTGGACCGCCACCTAAACAAATATAACATAATAATGTTTTTAAACGTAGCAGACCAACCTGTGGGCCAAGCATTTTGCTTCTGCTCTGTTAAATTTCTTCGGGCAGCTTTCTTTAAATTCTCCCACAAAGTTTTCAGGGACTGCCACTCCCTCTCCATAATAAGTGAGGATGCATTAAATTCTTGCGCAGTTCTCTTCCACTGCTCAGTTTTTATTTTAGAACTCCCTGCATCTGTTTTCTTGCACTCCACAACTGAATAGTACTTAGTTACTAAATCAATTAAAACTGCTTTCTCAGACTGCTGAAACATTGGTTCTCTTTTCTCTTTTCCAGCAGTAGAAACTTGAGAATCCATATTTCTATATTAAACAGCTAAAAATGAAAGTTAAATAATAAAAGCTTTTATTTGAAATTAGTAAAAACCCACTTTACTTAAAAATTAAAAACAAGGTGCTCCAAACAATAGTGAAACACTTTATAGTACAATCAAACACAAAACTGCCAAATTGGCCCACAAAATCAGACAACTATAATAATTATTATTATTGTCTCTTATCTTTGAAGAAAAAATTTTAAAAATAATAGGTTATTTTTGTAATTCTTCTTCTTTACCTCCTGGCGTTATGCACATTCCAACTGTTACAACGTTGCTAAAGTTCGTTTCGACGGAATCTCGGATTTACTAAACTCTGGCTTATTTCAAATGGTGAAACCGAGTTGACCCTAACGTAGATTAAAATCTTCGGTTACATAAAACTACGTTTTCCGAAACGACGTTTACCGCGTACCTGGTGAAATCCGGCCTTAAACGATTAAAATCCTATTTAAGGGCCACTATGGAACAAGATCGTTTAAATGCCTTAACAATATTAATAATAGAATCGGATTTAACTACCAGTATAAATTTTGACAACATTATTGATTCGTTTGCTGCCATTAATCCCGGCGTAAATTATTTTAATTTTTTTTATTTCTACGAATTCATTTGTTGTTTATTTATAAATATAACATTTTTGTTTTATTTTTGTTGTTATAGCGAATATAAGGGCGGCATTTTTTAAGTGACGTAAGGCGGAAATTTGGTAAATCCGGCACTGAAATTAAAACTAATGTTAGAAGCATAAAACACAGCCATAAAACACTTGATTTTAAACAAAACGTATATTAGCATTAGGTAACAATAAAAAGATATTTTCTTTATAAAGGAAAGCTCTCTTAATAGATTGCAGAATGTTAATTCTAGCAGCTGGAACAAATTGCCTACGGTGGCCTGGTGTCGTAACAATCACAGAGGGACTATATATGCAACTCATTTTTAATTCCGCTTAAAATGTGGTAGGTAAATTGCATAGTAGTCGATAATAATAAGAAAAGAAACTTTTCATTTGTTTTCCACGTTCTTCGTTGCTCAAGACGGCGGATTGTTTACAAACAAATACGTAGAGAGGCGTTCAGTGAAACGCTTGTTTATTTTAACGTTTTCGACTAACATCACTTACTTAGCCAATTATTTCTCTTGATGACGAGTGACTTAGTAAATATCATTAAGCAGAATCAGAAAGCGTATTTGGAGTTTTGCAGATTTTTCATCAAGTATTATTTGGAAGTGATTTCTAAGATTTTATTATAGAATATTCAAAAAAATATCGTTTTTATAGTGGATGGTTTGTTTTACCAAACCAAAGAGCTTATCAAGAAATTATGGCAGAAAGAATAATGACAGAAAATAGATTTGTCAGCGCGTTACAGAAATTTATTAAGAGTCTTTAGAGGTTTTTGTCGGTATGTACCAAACAATGATACGACCAATAGTGCTGTATGCATGTGAAACGTGGACGTTCACTGCAACGGAAAGTTCGAGGCTAGAGATTTGGGAAAAAAATACTGAGGATGATTTTTGGAGGAAAGAAGATAGACAACATATATACCAGAAGAACAAATGAAGAATTAAAGCAACTATATCGGGCACCAATTATAACAGGAGTAGCAAGAGCACAAAGACTGAGATGGCTGGGACACATTGAATGAATGGCTGAAGCAAGAATTCCTAGAATGATAATGAAACGTGAAATAGATGGAAAGAGAAGGAAGGGTAATCCGAGAACCAGCTGAAAAAAGGATGTTGAAGAGGACTTGAGAAGGATAAGAGTGGATGGGGTGGAGAATAAAGGCGAAAGACAGAAACAAACAGAGAAAGATAGCCAATCGAAACGAACAGATAGTAAATAAATATGAGCCAAAAAAACAGTCGTATCAAGAAAAGCTTTACACCTTTTTTGCTTGTCATCAGATTTCTCTCTACTTAGAGTTTGCATATGAGTATTTCAAAAATCGTTTGAAATATACAGGGTGTCCCAGAAATAAGTGCTGAGTATTCTAAGGGGTGGTAAATCTGGCCAAAAGAAATACATTTTCTCTTTGCCATTTTTAAAATAAATTTATAATAAGCGAGTTATATAACTTTGAAAATTTTAAAGAATAATGACAACATTTTTAGAGCTGCCTGAGCCTGCAGCAATCGATAATCTCAGCTTGTTCGATACCCAGCGTTGACACGTGGACTAGAATGATTTAAAAACGACTTCGCAAATTCATTAAAAGTAAAAAACTCAACGAAGAGTAGAAAACGGGACTCCAATAGATAGCAGATCAATGTTGTAAATTTTAAAACAAATATAAAAGTTTCAACATTTTCTTTTCGCAAAAAACCTCATGGATATGTTTCTGGAGTCGAACTATACCATCCGTTAAAATACTTGCACTGGGACCCTGTATAGTGCCTACCTATAAATTTAAAAAAATCTTGAACAAAATATGTAACTGAATCTTAAAGATTAAAATATTTAAATCTGTACGATCATTTCCCGAGTTGTTTAAACTATTTAAAAGACAATAAATTATAATTAACGGTCGCGAAGAAGTCAAAGAATTTTTATTTTCGATTTTATTTCAAGTCATTACTGTGCCACATCCTATTATAATTTTATTACTTTAATTACTACATGATGTAAACAAGTCTTCTTATCAGTTTCAGTGACCGTTTTTCATTAAAACAAATTAAAAAAAAACATTCTATGTGTAATTGTCCGCTGGTAACACTGGCTAGATAAAATTACAGTGTATTTGTAAAGTGATCTGATCTGTGAGTTATTTTTTGACATTCAATTTAAAGAAAAAATATTTTAAATTCTTATGTCGCTTTTATTACTCGAGGAATTTCTATTAAACAAGAATAGAATTATAGTAAACATTTTAATTGTTTATCTACGCAGTTCTTTACATGAGTGTATTACTAGATTAATTAATAAAGAAAATTAAAAATTACATATACCTACTCTATGTGCGTTCATGTGTCGGCGGTGCGGCACACAGTGTAACGAAATCGGGAAATGCGGGACAGCCCAAAAAACAAAAAAATTTCATTCATCAAGTTTTTTATATAGATAGATAAAGGACATCCCAGAGCCCCACCATGTGAGATATTTCTTGAGTTGACCTCTTAGTCGGGGAGTTATGGCGGGTTAAAGTAATGGTTTCCTTAATTTACCATATCTGTACAAAAATTTCATACAATGAAATTTATTATTTTCAGAAGTTTCCTTGTGTTGTTCAATTCCAACAAT